GTGACAAAAGTGCATGGCAGCCATATGCACAAGAATATACTAGATGTGGTGTAACAGAAGAGGAGCCAGTGAGAAGAAGCAGAGCACTCCTTGCAGCAGAAAAACTCATACTAAATACGTAGGTATCCATTTAAAGATGTTAGGTAAGACAGCTGGTAAGGACCAGCCTGAGACTTGGAATGAAGCTGCCAGTATAAGTAGCACTATAATAGCTGAGTCAATTCAATACAAAAGTAGCTCTGCATACAGCTTTTATTTCCATATTAAAGTTTCTGACATGCTGCACAGAAGCAGATAAATATAACATATTTTTAAAATGGTCAATGCTGAGTGCAAACTTTACCCAGCATATATCTGAAGCTGCAAATTCAAAGTTTCTGCACAGATCCTCACAGGTCTGACCACTAACAATTTTGCACAAAACTGACATTGTGCTTGCAGCTTACTGTTCCTCACACTGGCAACTTGAGATGGTACTCAGAATGGCATTTAGTTGTCATTCACAATAATCAGTCCTCCCAATCATTATCACATAAGCTATTTAATAACAAATTCCTGCCAGGAACTGCATTACAACTACTGAACTGAAACCTCAATAATGGAAAATGGAGACTGTAAAGAGACTACACTGATAACTGAAAACATGAATAAAGTTACAGCTCAGAGTATAATCTTATAATTTTTGCTCCAGTGTTGCCTGAACTTCAGTTCTGGTGGATGGCACAGTAATATGCTATTTATTCTAGACTAAACTATGCAACTATTAATTTATAGTAGCTATTCTATGATCTTTCAGAACTGCAGTTCAACAAAGTTAGAACCAGTCATGACCAGTTAAAACAGTGTTTCTGGTTTTAAGCTACGTTAATACTATTGTCATTAATGTAGTCAACTAGCTTAAACCCAACTATTCCAGTTGATTTGTGAGCCTCACACAAAATAGTCACTGAAGATGGTAAAAAACACAGTAATGAAAGGAAGAATTGAGTCTGAAATACACAAGTGGTCAATATTTTTCCTTGAACCACCTATCCTTCCCTTGAACAAATATCACACTTCAAATCACAGTGTTAGGAGAATCATGCTGAATCATTTAAGCATTTAAGAGCTACCATTTATATCTTTAACTAGTGTCTGTAGTTAAGCTGACAAACTAAATTCAGAGAAGATAAGGATACTGGTGGAAAATCCTTGGGCCTTGAAGAATTAAATGTGGCAACTGATGGGGTGAGTATTTCTATAGACCAAGGCTCATAGCCTTGGCATCATGATGGAACAGCTTTGTTTTGATAAGCAGGTTGTTGTGGTATGCAGCATGGCTGTCAATTACATCTCCTTTGCAGGCTGTGCCTCTTTAGGGAGGCAGAGACCTTGCCACATTGATCCATACTTCTGCAGCTTTCAAACTAGACCATTTGTAATACTTTATCTGAGCTACCCTTGAAAACAACTCAGAGGTAGATGCAAAATATTGCAGACTATTTTCTGTTAAATATGAGATGAGAGCACATGCAAGACTTTGCTTTGTCAATAACACTCATTTATCTCTGCATTCTCACTTAAAAAGTGCTGGATTTAACCTATGGTACGTGGCTAAGGTCCATATAACCTGAAACAGTTGCTCCTTCTATCAACTTTGCCAGTATCTTCATTCATCAATCCAGACACAGTTTCAGCCACCACTCAGTCCTCCCATATAATCAGCTCCTAGAAGCACGACCTTTACAGTCATGCACCCAAGGTTATGAAATCACCTCTCTATAATTGTTTTCCTTTACTTGCATTCCACTTGCATATAAAATCTTCCTGTCTCATTGGGTCTCCTTAGAGTGACTTTTCTGACTATCTATTATATTTTCAAATTATTTTATTGGTTTTATATTATATTTCCTTTCTCTGTTATAAGCCTCTTTGAACACATGTCAAACCAATGGCATATAAAAACTTTAATCAATCGTGTTCAAAATAGAAAAAATAGATCATAATTCACCTTATTGATCCAAAAGTGTTACATCTGTATAAAAAAGATCTTCCTCTGAATCAACTCTATTGGCACTGAAGTAAATCTGAGTCAGTCACAGCTTATTCCTATGTAAAGAGTACCAATTGAAAACCTGCTCCTCAATCAATGCAGACCCAATCATAACATCTTAGGGCTATTTTCCCCCCATATGCAATAGAACATTATCACTCTCTATATGTTTCCACAAGTATAAGCAAACAACATGTGAACTATACTAGCATCAATTCCATCAATTGGTGAAAAGGCCTATTATTGCCCACATCATACGCTTGCACCCAAGGACAGCTGAGGCATCTCATGCATACAAATGTATTGCATAAACCAGTTCTCAGTTCTACAGCTAGATAAAAGCATAGCTATTCAAATTACTCTTCTTTATTATACTTTGAGTACACTTCAAACTAGAATTTTGTATAAGGGCACATGGAAGATTACTGCACCTATTTACCAAATAACCATTAAATCCCAAATCATGACCAGAGAATCTTAAGCATAGTTGTAAAAGATCTTAAATGATAGCTCAAGCTAGCCTAATCTCATCAGATCTTGGAAGCTAAGCATGGTCGGCCTTGGCTAGTATTTGGAAGGGTGACCTCCAAGGAATACCAGGGTCGTAACGCAGAGGCAAGCAATGGCAAACCACCTCTGAAATTATGCCAATGCTTGTGATTTACACCATGAGTTGCCAGGCCATACTCGAGAGCCTGCCTGGGGAGTTGACCAACAGCTGGCCAAGGCTACTGGCAAGCCAGCCCAGTATATTGCAATCCACATCATGACCTACCAGCTAATGACCTTTGGGGGTTCAGGCAAGCCATGTGCTCTGTGTAGCCCACACAGTATTGGCAAGACAGGTGGGCTGCAAAACAAGGCTTACTTGAAGTTAGTGTGTGAGCTGCTTACTAAATACTTGCAGATACCTGTGGACAGGGTCTACATCAACTATTATGATATGAATGCTAGTAACGTGGCCTGGAATGGATCCACCTTTGCATAAGGCTCTTATTTGTCAGTGTTCTCCCTAAGGGCCTGTTGTGTCCTTCATACATCTCAGCCATCACAGCCAAGCCCACCTCCCTAATGTAAGCTCCTTGTTGGTCTCTTGCATTCATCATACTTGTAACATTCCTCCATATCAATGGGAAAACAATGCTATATGATAATTGATTGATTAATTAATGACAGAATACCAGCTGGGGGAAATATATATATAAAGGGGAGTCACAGGATTCAACCCCATATGCTGAGGGAAGCAACTTACTTCACCCTCTCCCAGAATCCACTTTTCCAAGGCACACACAAATACAGATGAACTCCAAACTAGGCAAATTACTGACTAGGCCTCCCTACAGTTTATTTTCTTATCCAAAGAGCTGCTGTAGTAACATGTACAGATATATTACACACGGAGACTAAAGTCAAAGTAACAAAGCACTGACATCAATTACTGGTGAAAGATTAATTCCAACTAATGTTGAGACAGAAAAAGGGAGGTGGCTTCATTAACAGCAACTTATAGGTGCATTTATCCCAGGCCATTTCACAAGCACTTCTAGGAGCAAAAGGAGGTACCTTCTGTTCTTAGGTACACACATGTATACAGATAAAGACAAAGAATGCATGAAATGCTCCTGTAGTATGTGTCTGTAAAAGGTAGGTTAGGGATGCAATAAAACAAATGACAGGAATTCCCATGAAAAACAATGGGAGAGGCCTGAAAGGCCAATGGATGTAGTGGGAGCCAGGAATGACAACGGACTTGCATGGGCTTCGTTGAAATACATTACAGTATGCAAAAGTTGCAATGGAAATGCAGTAGGGATTTTGAGAAACCTGCCCTTGCCTTGGCATGATAGTCTCCAGCGTATAATTATGGTCCCTGAGCCCAAACAGGCTGCTCTGGGCCTGGAATAAAAGTCCCCAGAGTGGAATGCCAGCCCCTAGATGCAAAATAAAAGCACTCTAGGAGAGGAAATGACAGCTCCCAGAGCAGAATGACAGTCCCTGGACACATTGCACTGGGATGAAAGCCCCTACAGTTGAAGGACAGCCCCTGGGAGAAGCAAAAGTATTCTAGGACTAGAATGACGGCATCACCGTGGAATGACCAGATAAACTGCACTGGGAGTGGAATGATAGCCCCCAGAGTGGAAGAACAGACTGGAACAACAGCCCCTAGGATTAGCATAAGTGTTTTTGGGGCTGGAATGACAGAATACTTCTGCTATAGCCAGGGGTTGTCATTTCACTCTAGGGGCTGTCATTACAGGCCCGGAACACTTCTGCTACTTCCACAGACTGCCATTCCAGTCTGGAGATTTGTCATTTCAGTGTCAGCATGGTTTATCTTGGTCTAGAAAGTGCAATTCCACTCTGGGCCTGTCCTTCGAGGCCCAAGGCAGGTTTCCGTAAATCCATTCCACATTTTTGTTGCAACTTTTGTTTGCTATAATGTATTTCAATGAAGCCCTGCAAGTCAATTGGCATTCCTAGCTCCCACTATATCTGACGAGCCTTCAGGTATCTCCCATTGTTCCCAATGGGCATTTTTTTTTTTGTCATTTGTTTTAGTCCCTGTGTTACATCTCGACGTCTTCTGAAGAACATCTCAAGAAAAAAAAAGGAGACAGCAAGCAAAGAGAGAAAGCGCGTCAGAAATGGAAGGAGGATTCAAGGCGGCAGCCAAAGGAAAGAAAGGAAGTGGATGCCAAACGAAACAGGGAGAGCCGAAAAGGAGCAGGAAAGCGCCTTCCCATTCCCCGATCCCCGCGAGGAGAGCGAGAGATGACCAAGGCGACGTTGGGTAGGGACGAATAAAGGCCGGTTGCCCACGGTGGGGGAGGGAATGACGTTTCCTCCAGCCAAGAAAAGGGCTCCGACCTCCACTCCTCGGGAAGTGGGGCCTCCTCTTGCCCCGCCCCAACCCCAAAGCCACCCAGACGGAGGGTCCAGCTGCCCAAGCCACCCGGTCACTCACCTCCGCTAGATGTTTGGCTACACCCCGACCATTTCCCGGTGGCCGCTGCCGGGCGGGTGTGAGGAGGGCCGCGAAGGCCCCACAGGCGGCCGCGGACAAGGGGAGGGGCCGCGCAGGCCACGGCGGATCACCGCCAAAGGGCAGGAGCGGCGACGACGGATGTCCGGCTCTGCCGTGACTCCATGTCTGGCGGTCGCTGAGATCGGGCCGGACGAGGCGGGCGGCAATGTCAGCCCCCTTGCCTCCCTCGGCTGCCTTCGCCTCCCTTCTGTCTGGAGTCGGATTACCCAGAAGCCCCCGCGCCAAACTCAGCCCCGCCGCCTTGCTCCTGCGGCTGAGAGGAGGGGCCTAAGGCCCCGCCACGTGACACCCCTCGCGTCGGACCAATATAGGGCGAACGCCACCTCTCTCGGCCGGAGAGGAAGCGCCGAGCTGCGTGAACGTAACGCGAGAGGGAGAATCGTGCAAGTTGAAGAGTGTCTGTGCTCTCTCGCGACCCCTACAGGGGGAAAACTCCTATAGTGGACTATAGACTGGGGTTGACTCCAAGCCCCAGTTGGTTTTGTGTCATCCAGACTTATAGAGAATGGGAAAGCTTGCACGCTGTTAGTTGGGTTAGTGTTAAAAGCGTTTGTGTGCGTTAAGTGCCGTCGAGTCGCTTCTGACTTTTGGCGACCTTATGCATTGATGACCTCCAAAATGCCCTGTCGTTAATAGCCTTGCTTCAGGTTTTCAAAACTGAGGGCCGTGGCTTCTTCTATTGAGTCAATCTGTGTCATGGTGGGACTTCCTCTTCTCCCGCTGCCTTCAACTTTTCCTAGCAGCATTATCATCTTTTCCAGTGATTCTTGTCATAATATGATCCATGAATTCAATTTAATCGTTTTACCTTCTAGGGAGATTTCAGGCTTTATTTCATCTAGCACCCACTCATTTGTTTTTTGGGTGGTCTGTAGTATGCTAAAGGTATGATATAGCAGTTTCACAAAACAAAACCTATTTAAGGATGGGTAATATTTAGTGACCTAAGGCAACAGCTGTACAATGCTCTATGGGCCCATCCCGAAGAAAGGTACGCATACTGAGGCTAAACTTATAAGTGGGACTACCACTGGAAAGCAGTAATAGTATTTCATTCCATGCATAAATAATTGAATGTGCAGTCAGCTACTAGGTTAGTTGGGGCATTAATCAATGAATGGTATCTATGGACAACAAGCCATGATAAACAAATGAAACTTAAATGGGCTGCTGAATAGCAGATGAAGATAAACAGGTGAGAAATATTAGCTGCTTGTAGGCTTTCTGGAGGAACCTCCACTTTGCCACAATTTGAAACATTACCGTTTCTGGACCTTGTGTCATGGGGCTCCTGTCTTCTTGCAAGAAAGGGATATTATACATAATCCTGTAATGATGAACTGTAAAGCCCAGGTATTTAATTTCCCTTTAGTGAAAAAGAGAGTGATCTGCAAAATATTAGTTACACAAGATGTTCTTTCCAACTTGGGTGCATATCAAACATCAGTGTGAGAATTTAAACGAATTATAACTTTCTATCTTATTAAAAAATTACAGAAAGTGCACAAGAGTAGCTGAACTCTATTTTCAAAGCTGCAATCCAATAAAAAAGGCTGCAATCCCATGTATAATTAGGAGTAACTGCAATACCAAACTCCAAAGATGTATAGCTTCAGCAGATCATAGAACAGATCACTGTTTTGACACATTTTCCAAATTAGTTTTAAAAGCAGGTCATAGTTCTCATTCTACTTGGATTGTATTTTAAAGATACAGATCTTTAAAATACAATCCAAGTAGAATGTACACGTTTTTAACCTTACAGCTTGTGCAGCACAGGGAGCAAGAGATGGAAATACCAATCAGAAAGTTAAGGGCTCTTCTCTCCCTCTACTATCATCTCATTAGGTGGTCTAAGGCTACCTACCCTCCTCCTCCTCAGCAAACTAGGGATATCACGAACCTTACAGGGCTGTTGCAAGGATTACATCAATGCGCTTATGTAGAGTTATTCGAACACATTTGCTACATAAATACTGGATACTATGATATAAAATTTTGCAAGTATTTCTTTAAAATTTTGTGATTGCTGGTAAACTACATGTAAGGTTTAGTGTCTTCCAGTGGTACACAGATGATTACAGGTTATGGCTGGTTAATAGTTACAGATAAAATAGTTTTGCAGTGTCCTGAAATGAAAAGTACAGGTTCATAATATCCATGCATTAAAATTTCTAAGAATGTATGAAAAGAGGATTTACTATTCTGAGAGTTTACTAATTTCTGTCTATGGTACTTGTCACTATAGTAAGCATGAATTAGTCAGCTCCTGGGAGTTCTAAGGCAGTTCTTGTTCTCAAATTACTTCTGGAAGGAGAAAGCAACTTAAAACACCACTGGTGTAATTCCTGGCAAAGGAATTGCATAGCGACTGTGACAGACTCCCCAGTGAAACATCATAAAATGAATGCACTTATCATCGCTGCATACAGACAACTTGCTGTATATATTTCACTTTCCAATAGAAGCTGTTATTGGAGGAGGAGGAGATTGGATTTATACCCCACCCTTCACTCGGGAGTCTCAGAGCAGCTTACAAACTCCTTTCCCTTCCCCTCCCCACAACAAACACCCTGTGAGGTAGGTGGGGCTGAGAGAGCTCTGAGATAACTGTCCTTGAGAACAGCTCTGACAGAAGAACTATGGCTTGCCCAAGGTCATCCAGCAGCTGCAAGTGGAGGAGTGGTGAATCAAACCCCAGTTCTCCCAGATTAGAGTCCACGCACTTAACCACTACACCAAACTGAATAACTATTTTAGTAAAAACCAGAAGAGGAATAATCCACAAACAAAATTCCTCAACTCCTGTGGATTATCTCCACCATCACAGTTCATGGAAAGTTTCACATCCACAAATTCTATGCTCAACAGTAAATAGCAGAGAGTGGAATTTTATTTTTTTTCCTTCCCATCACAAGGCTCATTAGAGGTCCAAGTATATCTAGCACTCTAGCTACAGAAAAATATCTGTAACAAGACTTGTAAAATTGATTTCTTGTGGCATATATAAAGCAAATTACTGATTTTTTAAAACTTTACTCAAGAGTTGTCATATGAAGCTGCTTTATACTGAATCAAGACTATTGCTGCCTTTATAGCGCCTTATAGTAGTAAATATATTGTTGCTCAAGCCTCATATTTATCTGTTCTGGAGTCAAATAAACTTAGGAGGGCGTATACTTTGGCTAGATGCTCTGCCTTACCTTCTGCAGTTCTTGAGGGCAAATTTAAGAAAATCCCCCAAAATGAGAGGCTATGTATGTGTGCGTCTGGGGAGATCGAATCTCAGGAACATGTCTTCCTGAGGTGTCCATTATATAATGAAGCTCGTACCAAACTTATCGACCCCCTTTTGGTTGGTTCCTCTGATCAGGATAAGATAGAGAAATTGCTTTCCAATTCTGATCATATAGCGCTACAGCAGATAGCGAAATTTTGTTTTTTGGTTGTAAAAGTTCATCAGCGTCCAGGTAGCCAGTCGGGTTAGGACTGCCTGATTTTAATCTTATTGATTTTTTACTATTGCTATTTTACTCTTTGTAAGACTAAATTTTGTCCAACATTACATCGTATTTTTGGTTTTAGTGATTAAAATGTTTGTATAATTTTATCTTTTATTAATCTTGTCTTATCATAATAGATTTACCATCTGGATACTTTTTGACATTGTAATCTAGTTAAATGGTAATATACTTGCAGGTATGGTTTTATATTGCTGGCTATGTGCTGTAATAAATTCATTCATTCATTCAAGATTATTGGACCATCAAAGTCAGTATTGTCTACTCAGACTGGCAGCAGCTATCCATAGTCTCAGTAGAGTGCTTCACATCACCTGTTATCTGATCCTTTTAACTGGAGATGCCAGGGTTTGAACCTAGGATCTGCACGCAAAGTAGATGCTCTACCACTGAGCTATGCCCCCTTTCTGAGAAGAATCTTTGTTATGGTCAAATCCTTTTGTTTTGTCATCAATCTATAAAGGTTAGACAGAAAAGTATACACATAGATAAAACAATTCTGAATTCCAGGTCCAATTTTTCCTTTCCTGTATAAAGAACTTGGTGCTAATTTAAGGGTAACATTACTATTTCTGTCAGAAAAGCCAAAAAACAACAACCAAAGAATGAATGAAACACTGCAGTAAAAGAACTGCACTCTGCACACCGGGGGCTTGTTTCAGATGCCAGAGGTTAGGACATTAATTGGCTTTGATGATCAGAATAAGTCCATCAGCTTATGGCTGCTTTCTTTCCCCTTGATGCCTTCGTTTCAGTAATTACAGGACAAAATAAATTAAACTTGAACCACTTGCATGAAAGTTTGATTCCCAGGCTAAAAAAGGAAGAATTAGAACCAAAAGTGAAATGCACCTCCAATCAATTACAACTCCTCCATAAAATTTATCAAGAGACTCTTTTCTAAAAAACACATTTCAGGAAGAAATTTAATTTAGTACCTGCAGTCCACAGACAATTTGCAAACGTTCCAGAAACTGGCTCAGAGCTTTTTTTTTTCAGAGATAGCCATACCACACATATACATAATATCTTTAAAGTATGCACCTTTCTGAGCAACACTACAAAGAATGTCTTCAGGATACTAAATGGGATGGCAAAGCTATTGTAGAGGTGGCCATTTTGCAATGGGGAGAGATCTTACTGAAACTAGTTTATGACTACAAGACAGGAGCAGTGAGTAGCTAGAAACCTCTTCATCAAGTTAGCAGGAAGGATCACTTTGGTATCTATAACAATGCCATTCATCTGCTCAGATAGATCATCAAGTCAGTATCTTCCATTTGCTGATAACCAAGGCCAATAGGTACCACTTCAGTGGGAAGGTAACAGCGTTCCGTGCACATTGGTGTTTAGTCATGCCGGCCACATGACCACGGAAACGTCTTCGGACAGCGCTGGCTCTTCGGCTTTGAAACGGAGATGAGCACCACAACCCTAGAGTCGGATTCAACTGGCTTTTGAGCAAGGGAACCTTTACCTTTACCTTTTTAAGGCCAATCCACTTCCCACATCCCTCAAATTGCAAAACAGTAAACAGAACAGTAACAATTTGCACCATCCTTGTGCACAACTACCAACACTGAGGAACCTATGGGGGGAGAGCTGTAGAAATGGCTTAGTTCCCATGACTCACATATAACAGCGGTTAAATCCTAATCTTCAATTACATGCTTTCCTCCTCTAGCTTGCTTGAGTGAATTTAGGGTGAAATTTCAGTAAGCTATAATCAGTGTACCCATTCTGAGGAAGCATACATTACAGACATCCCATGACTACGCATTCCTTTAGTGTGCTTGGCTGAAGGTTGCTTCAGGTCCAAAAATCCCTGACAGGATACCACCATTTCAGAGAAAACATGAATCTAGAACCCTTTATGTTCCTGACATCCTAGACTTCCTTAGAAGGAAGTATTTATCAGATTCAGAGGGGAATAACTCCCATCTGCAGTCTGAAGTAGTAGAGTTTCTGGATGGCTGTACTACTTGATTTTTTTCAAATGGAAGGTATGAGTTTGAAACATCATAGGACTTCTTGTTTTGTCATTTCTCAAGGTATATTGAGCATAATGCCTGCGACTATTCTCATCTCCTTATATTCATATAAAGATTGTCTTTTAAAAGCTTAGATTTTTACTTTTGCTATTAGTGTTACTTTTTCCAGCAACTCTCTGCCCTAATTTATTTCTGACTAAATACCTCTTTAGTAACACTGTTCACATACATATTATGAACAAGTGAATTGCTGTAGTGCTGCCCCAATTATCTAAGCCACTCTACTACTTCTCATTCTATTCCAGTGGGATCTAGTGTCCACTTATTCTCAAATATTCCCTTCATTATCTTTCATGGCTTCAGGTTCTTCAGTCCAGAATGAAACAAAAGTGCACGCTTGATTCTGCTCCTGTGGTACATAAACACAAAATATTAACATTCTGAATCTGCTTTAATAATTTATTAATCTTTCCTCTTAAATGATACATTCTCTAGCATGACTCTCCCAAATAATTTTCTGGTAGTATTAGAATTACAGTATCTGAATTCTGCAAAACATAGAAATGGTTACAGACTAAAATGCACAACTTACATAAACATTTAAATAGAACATTTGTATTCAAAATTCAGTCTACACACTACATTTTCATAAAAATATAAAAAATAGTTCATTAGTTAGTTCATATTTTAACTAGACTAGGATATTTAAGATTCCCCCCACATGTTCCCTCTTAAAAAGACTCCCATCAATAAGAAACTAAAAGGAGACTGTATCACAAATTAAGTGACTACTGCCAATTGCTAAAATTCATCACAACAGCAAGTTAGTTCACTTCAGTCAACTAGCAAGAAATGTACTGTAATATGATATTTGCAAATAATTATCCTCCATATCAGATTTTCATATATAAAAGTTGTGCTATGCAAAGAATAGATCTAAACAAGCAATTGTAACTTAAAATGCAGTGGAAGTTATGCAATCAATATAATCCAGTTTATTTTACACTTAATAATTTCCCAAACATAGCACAAAGGGAAAATTGTAGACACATTTTTAACCCAGCCCCAATGAAAGTACTTTTCTTCCTCACTGAAAACAGGGCATGTATGCTATTACCATTTCTCAAGGCTCCCAAATTAGCATGTGGAAGGTATAATTAGGATTCCAATCTTCCCTATTAGTACTTATTTAACTTTATGAAAAAGGCACAAAGATGAAACACTTCTGTTGCAATGGTAATACTACTCTCTCTATGCACTGTGCAAGTAATGCTTTACAGGGATGACCTTGTCTCAGAAAAGTTTCAGTAAGAAGCTCTAAACACAGGTCCTGTTAAAAAGATTAAAGCATTTGGCCCTGGTCCAGAGATTCTGGTGCATAGCACTGAGTTGAGTATGCAGCTGCATGTAAGGATCTCCACTGATGAACAGATGGACATTGGTAAGTACTAACAGTACTGTTCACTTATAAAGGAGAAATGGGTTTCTGGAATCAGCCTCCCCAAGCTCAAAAGGCAATCTGAACCTTCAAAACTAATAACTAGCCATCCATTTGCTGGGAGAGTCCAAGTGCAGTAACGTGTGCAGCCCACTACTGTGCTATGTTCTCTACTAAACATCCTTTTTGCATATATGGGGAACACATCCAGAACAACAGTCTGTGCACAGAAGCCTGTTTCCGTTATGCAGAACAAGATCTGTGAGAATGTATGAACACAAACATATTGACCAACAGATCAGCATTGACAGAAGTTTGACATTGCAACTAATACTTGACCCGGAAAAGCCATTTGAAAAAAAAGTAAATTTATTTTATCTATATTTGATGCAATATCATCATTTCCTCTTTAACTCTTAGCAGAGATTTAATATGGCTTTGCTATATTGTCAGCCAACTGAAATAAAACTTTATATTCACCCTCCTTCCACCTTGCTTGCAATCTGAACGTGGCATAAAGGTTTCTCTATGACACAACACAGGATGGTTCAAAGAAATAAAGTTGCTTTCTAGCATGTAAACATCAGGGCGACTGGACCTTAGTTCATATAAACATTTGATAGATTTCTTTAAAAATTAAATAAAGTAGCCTTTCCTATTAAACAATAACCCACAAAAATACTCTTTCAATAATCATTATTTGCCATTTAACAGCTTTTTAATACCATAGTGACTACTCTGTAAAACACACTTTTTTCCGAATTGTAAAAATGGACCTGTTCATTTGTTTGGCCATAAATGCAATTTTAAATGCCATTTAATTTTTAAAATTCCAACACCAGAGTTCTGACCCTGCAAACTATGTCTTCTTCTTTTTCTTTGGTGGCTCATCATCTGTGCTGCTGTCTGTGCTGGTGCTGCTGCTGCTACTGGAGGAACTGGAATCTGTTTCAAAGTCAGAAGAGCTGGAAGAACTACTTGAAGAAGGGGAGGAGGAGGAAGTGGAAGTGCTTTCATCACTGTCACTGTCATCAGAAGAGGAGGATGAAGAGTCTTCACTCTCAGAAGACGACTCACTGGCGGAACTGATGCTGCTGCTGCTAGTGCTGGAACTTGTCACACTTTTAGATCTGTATAAAAATTTTAGAAGGATCAGCAGTTGTTACTCAAGATCACTGTATCAACGCCTAGTGGAGTCTACCAAACCAAATTTCAACTATACTTTCCATAGGTTGTATACAGCCATATTTTCCACTGACCAAAAAGGAAGAGGAGCTGCCTGTGACCGTGAAAAAAAAAGGCTATGCTGGGGATCATGGGACTTGTGCAAACAAAAGCCATGTGGGATGGGGGCTGCAGTAAGAGCAGAGCTGAGGAAAAAACTGTGGCATTTCCAGAGTATTTGGGAGACATCTAGGGCTGACATGGAAAAAAAAATACAGTAGCATTTGCTTGGGATTCCAAAAAGCTGGAAAAAAACCCGAAAAGTTTTTTTTGGGGGGGGGGGGGGGGACACTGCTTCCCTGGTTTTAAAAGATAAGTTTCTAACTTCTACTCAAGTAGCTACAAAAAAGATTCAATAAACCAACACTGTTATGCTAGTTACCATGTGTAAGAAACTCAAATGTTAATGGAAGTTTTAGGTCCTGAGAAGACTTAATGATTTCTAGCTTCAGGGATCTATCACTAAAAATAAGAATGTTTTAGCTAAGATGTTCAACTAATCTGATTCTAGTGAAGCTGCAATCAAAGATCTGGGTACGCCAAGTGTCCTGCAGCCTTTAAGTCGCCAAAAAAATTACTCAATCCTTTACAAATTGAGGCCAGAGAATTTTCTGGAATCACATTCTTAAAATAACATTGTATGTGTAGATGCATTTTCCACTAAAATCCTTTATTCATCCTTTCCCTTTTCTAGAAGAAAGAAAGCCTGTAAAATAGCTGAATACAATTGGTTCAGATCAGAATATTCAGTTTTCCAGGATGCATGGAAATTTATGTCATTCTCTAAAAACAAGGAGGTTTATTAATTATTTTTATTATATCCTTTCTCCCTATTCAGTCCCCAAAGCAGCTAGAGATAGTCATAGCAAGTTGTAGATTTATGGCACATGAAGTGACAACGTTTAAATAGTCTTGTAAGTCTCAGAAGGTCTTGAAAACTAAGAATAGATATAGTTTACATATGCATGTAAGGAAAGAACAGAAGATAAATAAATACTACAGAACAGTAAACCCTCAAGTTTTGCATTTAAAATTATGTGTAGAATGTATTTTCTCCTTCTACAATTTTGACAGCAACTTTTTTTAAAAAATAATCTTTTTATTAGTTTTCCCAAACAAAATGAAAAAAGAACCAAAAAATATACATTACAGCAACACATTTTTTTTTTAAAAAAAATAGTTCCTCACATATTTCTGCTAATTAGTATATCTTAATTTACCCCTGATATATATTAGCTCAGGTTAATACTTCTATCCTTTATTTCCAACACAAACCATTTTTTAAAATTTTTCCCTATCTCTTTCCTTTAAACATCTCCAAATTATCAGCAAATACGTATTCACATCACAGAAATAATTATATATAAAAAGGGGGGAAATCCTATTAAAGGTTATCAGACAATAATTAATTGCTAGTTCCTTTTCCACTTAACCCACTTAACCCATACCATCAGCAATAAATCCTCACTTAGATAATAGCCCAAATCATAACACAAGCATTAAGCATAAGTTTTTCATAAATCTTTCAGTAACTGATTAACCTATTCTTAAACTTTCTATAGTTTCTATAAATAAACCCTTTTCTCACTTTATCCATCTTTGACTTATAGTTGTCCTCTCACATAACCATACAGTATCAACAATTTAACTTTTCCACCTAACATTCCTATTTTTTATCCTCTCACATTTGTTACGTCACATACCCATACATCTCATCAATTTAACATATTCACATAACATATTTTCTCTTATAGGTAGGCCATTTTTACACCTTCCTCTCTCACTGTCCTTTTTCCTTCTTTACAACAATAGTGCCACAATTAATTATTTAGCTATTAGTTAAGTCTTAAGATATCCTTTCCCAACAAGAATGTTTAATCTCTTTCCAAGACAAACATTTTTATACTTCCCTATTGTTCTGCATCTTAAGTCTCTCTTAATTTAATCCTGTTGTATTCTAACAATTTACTCACATTTTGTCAACAATAATTGGTACTACAAACATTAATACCCAATATGAGCAATAATTAAAAGAAAAACCTTTGTATAGCACTAAGAAAAGAAAAATAAACTAAGATGCAATAAAGCTTTTCATAACAGAACTCTCTGAAGTTTTACTTTCCACTTTATGTAAGTTTGGGAAGAAAAATACTCTTTTATACTACCAAGAAGTGAAATACCACTTAGACTACCTTTTTGTTTTCCACCAATTTATCTACTGGTCAATCACAAATTACTCTGTCACATGCAAATATTATCCAATTTTCCTCATTTTATAAAATATTCAAACAAAATAGGTTGTTTTACCATACAATTTTGACAGCAACTTCTAACTTGGCTTGCCAATCGTTGTGTGTGTCTGTGTGTTTGCACACGCAAACATACCTATTACCTCAGTAAGAGGCAAGGCAGAGTACGGAAGGCTGAAGGAAAACAGATGTTATACTTAAGAGGGCAAAGAAAACTGCAATGAAATGTGCCAAAAGTGTGCATAATACATTATTGGAACCAGCTCAACATACAGCTTCCTCCTAAGCATGTTTATTGGGAAATGAACTCTGCTGGACAATACTTCTCAATAAGGGCTGTAGCCTATGCCTACTTCATTAATCAAGCTGATCATTATCACTAGAATCAGTGCAATGGACAGGGATAATTTGTTCCATTTTCAAATTTGTTCACGTCACATACCTTTTCTTTTTGCTCTTCCTGTCCGTAGTGCCTTCTCCAGAGCTAATTAAAAAGTAAGAGGAAACAGCTTTTATTAATAATAGTGAGGGGAAATTAATGAAGAGATGCATTAGGACTTCCTGGAAAAAATCAGCTCCTCTAGCAAGAGATAAGATATACAGAAGGCCTGAGTAATAAAGATGTGGGCATCAACTATAAACATGTTGATTGTCCAACATTCACTGAACTTAATAGAGCTATAAGCCTTTTTAAGTAGTCTTTGTCTCTCCAAAACAATCCATTAAAAGGAATGGAAACAAACCAGCTACAGTACCTGAGGGATCACAGCTGGTATTGTTATATTTACATTTCTCTTACTGTTAGTTACCATGTTTTAGTTTGCCTACAAACCTCCTCAGGAGAAAAATTTCATAAAAGTGGGGTATATACAGGCTATAACAAACAAAACTGTATTAAGCCCGTTGACCACTCCCTCGGGACAACAAGATGGAAGAAATGCCTACTATAATTAAAAGAGTTACAACATTCCAATTCTTTTTCCACCGCAGTTAGTGGGTAATTCAAAAGAACAGAGCAATACACTAATGATGCACTGTACATACAATGGACAGAAAAGACAACATTGGCCAACAGATCTCACCATACTGCCTTGTATTGTCTTCAAAATAACCCATATTCTAACGGTGATACAACTCTTCCTTAGTTTGTATGTATGTGGTAGGTCACTGATGAAGTGTGAGTGCTGGGCACACCATAGTTTCAAGACCACCTTGGCCATGAACTCATCAGCTGGTCTTCCACAAGCTACTGCTCTCAGATTCAGCATCTCTCTGCACTATAGAGATAATGTCAGCCTACCATATAAGAACATTTTAAGAATTACCAAGATTCTATGAAGTGTTTTATAAAAATGTTGTTTTATTAGAATGGCAAATAGACACATAGAGACACATAGAGAAAGTTAGGATGAGATTTCAAAAATAAGCTCTTACAAAAAATAAATCCTCGTGTCTTTTTTTAAAGCCACCAACAAGTAACAGCAGAAAGGCTATTAATGTCCTATACGGATTTTGACATGCTTAAGCATTTCCGACAGCGTAAAAGGATTTAACTGCATAGGACTGGGGGGCGTAAATAAACACTGTACTCAGATAAGTGAAATCCACATCAGACCCTAGCCCAATTCTCAGAAACACCAGTTGTAGTCATATCTTTTTTGCTCCAGCAAATAAGTATTACCCATGAAGGAAGACTCTTATGGCAGGATAAGTTTACAAACATTGCCAGTAGATCTGCTAGTGCAAATGAAGTGCTGGTACCATCTTGTTTGTTACTATCAGCTCAAGCCGAGCCTCAATAGTTAGTGATATAAAAGGAGTTTCAACAGCCAGCGCTATATATATAAAAGTCCAGCATATTGGCACTTTCCAGCTCTCCCATTGGCTGTGTTGTGTGCTCCAGTCATTGGCCTGTCAACCACTACTCAAGAGTACTCACGTGCCATTGGCTGGGTGCTGGGTCCGCTCCTCTCCCATGCCCACTGCCAGCCTGGCCACTCTTCCCTGACAGAATAAACTGCCAAAACAGCTGTCTCTCCTGACAAAGACGCTTCGACTGCTTGGCTCCTCTGTGGCTGGCTGGCTACTGAGGTGGGCCACCAGCCATCAAACCATTCTCTTCTCCTACTGTGGGGCTAGCTTTCCTCGGTTCAGTCAATAAATAGATGGGGGGGAGGCCCTTTCTAGGCTCACTTTGGCCTTTGTAGGGAACTCATTGGGGACAGTCCTGACTAGGGGTGCCAGCTCCAGGTTGGAAAATTCCTGGATATTTTGTGGTGGAGTCTATGGAAGCCAGAGTTTGGGAAGGGGAGAGGCCTCAGCTGAATAGAATGCCATAGAGTCCACCCTCCAAAGCGGTTACTTTCTCTTAGGGAACCACTGCTACCAATCTCCAGGTGAGGGCTGGAGATCACTCAGAATTACAACTGCTCTCCAGATGGCAGAGATCAGTTCCCCTGGAGAAAACAGCTGCTTTGCAGGGTGGACTCTGTGTCATTATACCCTGCTGAGGCCACTTCCCTCCTGCTTGGGTCCCCACTGCGGAGAAAGACTGTACTTTTCCTAGGTAGAGACTACAGGTGTGGGGGGAGATGGAAAGGTGAAGTCAGAAGGACAGATAACGGTAGGTTGATGGTTGGCTGGGAAATTCCTGGAGATTTGAGGGGTGGAGCCTGGAGAGGGGTGGAACCTCAGGCAGGTACAATGCCAAAGATTCCACCCTTCAAACCAGCCATTTCCTCCTGGGGAACCATTGTTGCCAATCTCCAGGTGAGGGCTGGAGATCACTCAGAATTACAACTGCTCTCCAGATGGCAGAGTTCAGTTCCCCTGGAGAAAATGGCAGACTCTGTGTCATTACACCCTGCTGAGGTTGCCACAGCAAATTGACGCTGAGTGCCCAAGGCCAGCGCACCCTCCCAGTTTCCCTTTCTAGAGCTCATTGTATTTATTTCCACAACGGGCCTTATTCCTAGTTATATAATAAAACTGTAGGACAATGGTCACTGCTAGCTTATGTAGTTGCTGCCACCCTTCTCAATAACATAGCAATTTCTTCTTTTAGCAGATCATACAAGTGGTTAATAACAGCCCCCATTTTACTTATGGAAATCCACACACAAGAATGCATATGGGAAAAATCTAAAGTGTGATTCAGCTGAAGTGTGATGCAACCCAAAGTGATTCAACTAAAGTGTGATGCAACCCAACCTCAACACAAGTTTACTCAGAAGAACGGTATATTATATTCAACAACTCTTACTGTCAAACGAACAACCTTTGGATTAAGGGCCAGCACAAATCTTGACATATCACCTTTCAACCTTGGTAAGAGTTTAAAGAGGTCACACTGCAGATTCAGTGGGAGAGCACCTGCTTTGTGTACAGACAGCTAAAGTTCAGTCCTCAGCATTTCTAATTAAGAAACTTACATCTATTACATTTGTCTAGCTGAGAGCCCAGAACACTGCTGCTAGTCAGAGTAGACAATACTGAACTAGATGGATCCATGGTGTTAGGTATAGTCATGTGATCATCATACAGCTATCCCCCAGTCCCTCTTCTTTCACATGCAAATTCTTCTGTCATTACATATGGTTTATTGTTATTTTTAGTAAAGCTAACCCTGGTTTCAAATACTAGGCTATGAACATACAATCTTAATGACATAATAAACTATAGTTAAGGGTAGAAGAACAATATAATCATGCAGTCTGTTCCCAACATGACTAAAAGCATTATGATTGTGGGAGTTTACTCCCAGTATGTTTGGGTGAGAAACATGTCTTTGCCCCCCACTGAAGTCAATGGGGCTTAAAGCTCTCAGCTATGGCTAGACTTGATGTGTAAACCTGCATACCGATGGCATGAATTTTTCCACACAGTCGATCTTACCTTTGTTGTAATAGTTGCTTTTCTTTTTCTTTCAGTGCTTTTTTTAACTCCGTTGTCCTTGAAGGTCTGTGAAGGTATTTTCTTTTCCCTGTACATTCATAGGTCCAGTGTCCAAATTCTAAACACTTCTGACATCTCACATGTTGCTTGTTTGCCTCCCTGTAAGAATAAGCAACAGAGTTGGAGTCCAGATGACTTTCATTTAAAAGCAAGATATTGAACACAGCATACACCAACATGCCAGTTTTCGTCTCCCATCTCCAACTGTGGTTTCATGTCTTAGTTAGGATTGCTCTGAAGTGCTCTCTTTATTCATCAAGTCTCCAGAAAATTTATTTCATCGTCTCCAGAAAAGTGGAAGAAGATCCATGGTCAATTCTCTATAAAGCCTTACAGTACTTACATGGGTACAAAAGAATGGTCCTAATTGCACTCTCAAATCTCATGTGGCAAGTGAACAGGATTATTTTTAGTTTTACATTTAGCCAATATATGTGCAAAAACGTAATTAGAAATTTCTCCTTAATTTTCCCCCAACAAAACTATATCCCAATACGGAAAATTTTCCCACATAAAACCATTTTCTTCTCTACTGCATATATATGGAATGCCTTTTAATCTTTCTTAATTTATGGATATTCTACAACTCAAAGCCATTAACTTTAAAAAAGCCCCATGTCATTTAAAATTAATGGTGCCCAATCCTGTTTTATCTCACAGGGCAGTAAACAAATTTTTAAAAAACTGCACAAAGGACACAGGATACCAATTTACAGCACAGTTCCAGAGTTTTACATTTCTACGTCCATTGAAGTCAATGGTTAAAAAAGTCTAAGTCTATTTAGGACCGAATTGTCATTGCTATGTGAGGTACAGATGTACCCTAGCATGGGCATCTATTATTAACACTAGAGATAAACAAACAGCAGCAAGTTCCAAGTTAATACTTTACCACTAATTAGTGAATGTATATAAGATGTACATAAGATACAGAGCATCTTATATATGCTTCTACACAAGTAAATATATTTATTTTCATTTGTCCTGTATTTGAGTAAAACTCGAGATAAATCATCCTATCCTCCTTTTCACAGTTATCTTCCTAAACTTTAATACAGCCCATAAAAATGTGAAGATGCTGTATCAAAGGTTCTCATGATATGCTTAAATAACTCAAGATCAAATTACAGGGCACTGTTAAGTTTCTATTTTCATGTTCATTTTGTCATGTTACCTTTTAATGCTGTGTATCCCTTAGTCAACAGTTTTGGGGATGGCATATCAAATATGTATTTAGTAAATTACAAGCTTTGTTCAGAGCCTTATTTGTTCATTTTTAATATATAGTTGTTCCAAACACAATTACATCTGATTCATGTAGGACAGTGCTTTTTAGCAAGTATGAAAAAATGCTAAATGATATAAATACTCTGATTCCCCACAAACTATCACTGATATATAATTTGTTGCAGAATAAACGCTGGTGTTGTGGTTCATTATCTGCTGATATATTTCAAATCTTTTTCACATGCTTTAAGATACAGATGTTTGGGAGAACTGTGGTCCAGCTTATTGGCTAAATGCTAGGAATCAGCACACCCCTTGAACCTAAGATAACACTGCTTAGGTACTTGAATGGCTATGTGAATCCTTCAGATATGAAGCTAGTTTTAAGTTTGCTCACTGTCACCAAGATGGTTATAGCAACAAATTGTTAAAAAGTATAATTCCCTTCTATAAATGAACAGTTTTAGAAAATCTGGTATACTGCTTCATTGAAAAGACAACCATATTTATTACCAGAGGACTAGAAGAAGCAATCTTTAAAAAAAACACCCTGATACATTTAATACTGGATATCGCTTATTACATTCTAGAATAAGAAAATAAGTGACAAGATTTATGCATTTGCCTCTTAGGATTCATTGCAGATTGGTGTGTGCCTTGTGTATGAATTTGTTTCCCTTTCCTTTTTAGACAGATACGTATAAATGTTCTTTTTCTCTGTGTGTAATTATCAGAAACAATCAGTCTTTAATTACTTTGTTTTAAAATGCTAAATGATCTTAAGAGGCTTCATTTCTCAATGACCAACACATGAAATTACTTTGTCAAAAAACAGACCTAAGGTACATTCTATGGTCACATTTAACTGCAGTGAAAGCCACAGTCCACTGATGATTACAGGATATTATGTAATTAATACAGTCTTGTAGAATTTGCTTGGTCACATGTGGTGGATAAGTATCACTTCCAGGCAACGAGCAAGGGAAACATTTATAAACAGAACAAGAGTTTTCTTCTTCCTTATGGTCATCACGTGCCACGTGTGATTAAGAAATGTGTGAGGCAGCAAAAAAGGGAGGTAGGACACCTGTCAATTGAGCACCTCGTATTTGACCAGGGTCAAATATTGTGAAAAATTCTATAAAGCCCAGATTGTTATTTGTTCTTATATGTGTAACAAATCACTTTTTTATTCAATTATTCTGTCAGCTGTCATATTTTGGGTAGGATTTTGTTTCTCCGTCCTTTTCCTATTTTTAGTATTTGCTGGTCTGCTAATGTCTCAACTTCTTGGTTGTTAGTAATTTCGAATTTTAAATTTTATTGATTTATTTTTTGATTTGATTTATTAGATTTCTATCCCGCCCTCCCAGCCAAAGCTGGCTCAAGATGGTTTACATAAAACACCTAATTTTTTTACAATACACATAAAATAGATTAGGAACAACATATAACAATTAAACAGTGCTAAAATAATAAATACAATAAATATAATATAAATATAAAATAAATAAAAATAAAAATAAATATAATAAAGCACCTCAAGAACTGTATTATGAAATCAGAATAGAAATGTTTTAAATAAGGTAAGTACAAACAACATTAGCAAGGGCAAACACAAGGGCAGTTTGCTATCCCTCCAACAGCACAGGGGCAAATTAGAAGTATAGCAAAACTTCTACTGGCCAAATGTTATAACTTCAGGAGTCTCAGATGAACATATGCAGTCATCAATGGCAAGGACTCCGTTCTGCCAGCTGCAAGAACCAGAAGATATAACCTTGATATTACTTGGGTTTATTTCTGTTTTTTTTAATTCTGTAAGCTGATCCTTGTGTTCCAGAAGAAAAGTTTTAAAAAATAGTTCCATGAATCATTCACATTGTTATAATTATTTTATTTTTCTAAAGCTGTTATTTTGAAACAAACTTGTTTTTATAATTAGCATCAAGTCTGTGATGATTATACGGCTTACACTATTTTAAAATTTTTGTGTAGTGCCCTTTTGACACGTGTTGTTTGTAAGTCACCTGGAGCCACTATGGATGGATTTATTTTTATTTATTTAGGCATTTTTACCTTGCCTTCCCCGCAAGCGGGTTCAGGATGAAAAGTTCAGACAGAAATGTTTAGTAAAATAAAAACTTTGTTCTAATACTCTTGACCAGTGAATTGACAAATCTTTTTTTTTACTGATTAAATGCCCTTTCTTTATAAAAATATTTGAGAACAAAATAATTTACCGTGAGTATAAGAAAGCTGCCCTAGGCCTAAGCATGTTTACAATTATCATGATATATTGCCTTTAAACGCCCAAACTAGCTGCATCTTGTCAGATCTCAGAAGCTAAGCAGAGTCAGCCCTGGCTAATATTTGGATGGGAGACCTCCAAGGAATATCAGGGTCATGACACAGAGGCAGGCAATGGCAAACCACTTCTCAATGTCTATTGCCTTGATAACCCTATAAGGTCACTATAAGTCAGCTGAGCCTTGATGGCACTTTCCACCACACATCACCTTTGAAAGACATGTTTGTAACATTCTGTCTGCGCAGGCTGTGTCTTACACAACTGAAAAACAATCACAATCAAAAGCAAATGTTGTTATACATAAACATCAAGGAATTTTTATTTGATTTGGAGTGCAATCCTTAACAGACATACACCCTTCTAAGACTGTTGAAGTTAATGGACATAACTCTGCACAGTTATTATTGAAAACCACATAAATGGTGCTATCCTAATTTGAATGTTAAGGACATTTCACTGTGTCATTCTGCACATTATACATTCTATTGAAGAATATACAGAAGCTCCCCTAAAACCTAAAATGATTAGATTAGTAATGGCCAGTTATAACTTTATTAACTGTAAGAGGCTTCCAATTGTTTTTATAGCTACCCTAAAATATTCTTATGATCAGTTACCATTAACTGATTTAAAAGAATTATCCACAAACCAGTTAAACCACAATGACAGTGTTCACATATCTTTGGATGCTATCCAACTCCATTAAAAAATCACTGCACTATTGTCTTTGGTTGCTGGATTTGCCTTTTGGGGGTCAAAGCTTTCAGTTATCCGTTCAATTATTTCTGTGAGTCAGTCACAGAATTTAAAGATTTAAAGATCTGATTTAAAGTCAAAGCATATTTTACATAGTTTAACTGAATATTTCACAACATATGTGAACATTACTCTGAAAACTAGAACATTAAGAAACTAAATGTACTTGTTTACTGTAATAATTCAGAACACAGAAATACTGCAGTCCCAAAAGACAAAGGGGAAAAAAAGATTGCCAGAACTATATTAAATGTATGTGCCAAGGAGGTAATGGGTCACTTATTTTTCCACCACACCTACCTATCACATAGGGATTATTCCTATAAGGTACAGAGTGTCCTTTGTTACTGCATAGTCTGAAGATTTAAGCCGCCAGCAGAAAGCTGAGAATATTTTTTACTGTCTTCAAAATAATTTTAACATTGTAGTAGTAGGTTATACTCTTGATGCTTCATGGACAATCTATTTAACCTATATTCTACAGTTGAAGTAAGACTGTCTGGGCCAATATATGTTTTAATCTATAAATTTTAATATATAAGTTTTCCAAAAAGCTCAGAGCATAACCCTAAAGAATAAAATACTAAAAATAGTTTCTAGCCCAGGCTTTCAAATCTCACAAGAATAAGACCAAAAGAACTAAATTAAGATTAAGATGATAAGTGCTAACTGAAGTTTTTATTGGTTTTTCCATTATGCAAAGTGTTATTGTTTTGCTGCATGAGTTAAAACTCTTCTATGTGCTTTAACACACTGTAATCAGTGAGGAACCTTTGGGATAAATCAAATTAGCTCCCAATTAAACACAGTCTACCACCATCTCAAATGATAATTACCATATTTAAAGCTACATTCTCATACATGCCTGAAAAAGAGACTCAATGGAATTTGTTTGAGTGTATTAGGCATATACCAAACTGTTTGGCTGCAACCCCATGCATGTGAATTTACAAATAAATCTTCTGGAATTTAGTACCACATAAATAAGCACTTCTACTGATGTTTTCTGCAAGAACAAACCTACCATCTAGTCAATTATAACCATCTCAGTATTTCCTATAAATTCTCACCAGTATCAGTATTCCCTACAGCAAACCACCTGATTATGCATTTATGGGTGCCGGAAGGTAGATGAGGAATAAGTCTTTTGATAGTATGATTTCAAGGAGTGGGAAATGAGAAACTAAATAGTATGGGATGTGACCAGAACACACATTTCAGGAAGTCTGACTGAGACCTAGTGAAGCCAACACAAATGGGTAGAGATGTAGTGAATTTTCCACCAATATTTAAACAATGAATCAAAAGTTAGGATGAAGCTGGGAATGTTGGATTTTAAAAGAGGAAAATACACTGAACAGTAACCTGGAGATTATAAAGACTGTATGGATAATCAAAGGGGTTGGGATTAAATTGTAGGTCTGTACTTCAATTTACTTTAAGCCTGAAAAGGTCAAGTACCAATAGCTCATGTGCTCATTGCAAAATGCTTTCATTCATTCATAGAGGTAAGACAAGTGACTAAATAATAGCTTTTCAACTGCATTCTTATACTGGCTTCAGTGTTTTTTGAGAGCCAGTCTGAGAAGTTCAAATATATCTAATTTAAGCCTAGACAAATAGTTATGAAATTTGCAGCCTAGCATGTTGAATTGGAAGTGGATTCCACTGAGTTCAATGAAACCCACTTCCAGCTAAGTACCTAAAATAAGATGCAGAGAGGTTTACTTCTGAGTAAGCATACATACAATTGGGGTTTTAAGGATTATAAATTCCAGTAGGACAACATTATTACAGGGCAAACAGAGTTATGCTGTTCTAAAGCAATTGAAGTAAATGGGCTTAGAAAGGTTTAGGATTGCTGTGTCAGCCTCATAAACCTAAAAAGACTCTTCTAGCATCGTAACTATTCACAACAGTGACAATTGGTGATAACAGTTATGTTAACTCATTTAACACCCACACCCCAATTCCTTTTACAAAATAATATTGCACTCAGTCAGCATTAGTAAACATCTGGCCTGTCAGTCCACAAATGGTCACTAGCCAACACAAACATTAAAACTGTTAGCAATAATTACAGCAGTTGTAAATGGTCACTGTATTTATCTCATATTGTGTTACACAGAAATGTCAGACTTCACCTCTTGCATTTCCAGACCCACTCTTCACCATTTGTTCCCCTCCATACATGTGTGTAAAAGTAAAAGTGTGGGGTCACATTAGGCTACAGTCTACTAATGATCCACAGAGCATGGGACAGAGAGACAAACTGAAGGACCTGATGCGTATTCACATTAGTCTGGTTGGTTTCGAGAGAACCAGTTACCAGTTTTAATAAGCTTTCCAGTGGCACAGCATGGAGGGAAAATATTCTTTTAATTACATATGGCAGGTACGACCAAACGAGCTAAACGCACTAGAAAAGAAAACGGGATTATATCTTCTTTTAAATGTCACTAGGGTTCATTCAAAAATCCTAACCAAATAACCCTTTCTAGTAAGTGATAGAAATACAAATACAACTACAGCTGACCACGTTATCGTGACCATTTTGAGTTTGCAGAGCCAAGGTTGAGGTAAAATGTTACATTAAAGGCTTTTTAACACGTCAAAACCTTGCAGCTCTTTCCACAAACAGATACAAACTGCACTCCTTCATAAGCAGAAGCATAGACAAAAACACAAGAATAATAGTATTAATAAATCCTCAAGCATACAAATATTCTAGAGTATTTCTGAGCTTTCGAAACACCAAGCTTCCACTTGTACTCTCTCGGCTGACATAAGTAGCACAGTCCTGGCTTTTTTTCTAACAATCACTCGCAGGACACCCCGTCGCTTCTCCACATCCACCCCATTATCATTACCACCCCGTTCTTCTGTAACCTCCGCCCCCCCTCCCCTCGGTCAATCCCACACACAAACTCACGCCTGTCTCCGGGCAATAAGGCGATGCATGGGAGTCGCCATCTTAGCCACCGGCTGGGCAACAACGCACATTGCATGCCGGGAACTCCACCCTCTTTTTTTCCGCCCTATTGGAGGAGTCGGTCAAGGTGGAAAAATTAACGGGGCGGTCTGGTCATGCGTAGCTGGTGGGGGAGATATGAGGAGGATATACGGTCGGCCTCATGGTCCTTTCCTTCCTTCCCTACTTAGCCTGTATAGGATTATGGTCACACCAACGCCTTCCCCAAACTGAATGTTTGAGTTGAAAATCTTGAGGCTTTAGCGCTTTTCTGCTCCTGTTCTGATGGGGGGGAGGAGAAAAGTGCAGAGCGAGGTGTCCCTATCTTTGTAGCTCATAGCATAGGATCGGGATCGTAATATTTCTTCTAAAAGGTAAAGACTGTAAACTTCTTTGGGATGGTAGGTTAGGGAGAGGAATATTTGTGCACGTTTATTCAAACTGTTTTATTCACGTTTATTTGTTCAGTGGCACGTACTCTCAGGGACGCCACCTTAAAGTAGAGAACTGCGGGTCAGTGACGGGTTCGCAGTGCTATGCTGCAGCCACTACTTCCAGAGGTTTTTCCACCTCCTGACCTTCCTCAATCCTGTCAGTCATCCTGCCAACGTGAGCCGGCTTTGCCTTATAGTTGTGACAAAAAAAAAATGTTGTCACTGACTGACAAAGTATTTAAAAGGGAGGGAGGCAATATACTTCTGTGCTTAGAGAGTGTTGCTAGACATTTACTCTTTATTTTGAAGGGTTCTTGTCAAAATCTATTTTTTATTCACAGTCCTACACAGGATAGTGCAACTCCTGTTGCCCTTTCTCACTACTACAGGGTTGTACATCTCTCTTTCGCCCTTGTTCAGACAGCTCAAGTTTGGGCCTTACATTCCATTTCACAACTTAGGTGCCTCTGTCATAGTACCTAGTCAACTGTCAACTGACCTGGATGGCCCAGGCTAGCCCAATCTTGTTAGATCTCAGAGGCTAAACAGGGTCAGCTCTGGTTAGTATTTGGATGGGAGACCACCAAAGAATTCCAGAGTTGCTATGCAGAGGAAGGTAAACCACCTCTGATCTTGCCTTGAAAACCCTACAGGGTTGCCATAAGTCACCTGTGACTTGAGAACACTTTACACACATACACAAGTGTCAGCATTTGACAGCTTCCAAATCCTCTTATAGGTGCCATTTTGAATCCACAGGATACTTTCTTGCTGGTGTTGTACTTCAGTTTCTAGTTGTGTTGTTGGGGCTACTAAAGACTATTGGAAGTGTCCTTGCCAGTTTAGTGTTTGCACTTCCACAGCAGTCCAGTTTATCATAGATTATATTGTTGTTCTACGTCAAAAGAACTTCACAGGTAGTGCTGAACTGGAGTAATTAAATTCAAGACAATGTAACTGCCCAGGGTACAAGAGGGACCTCAGATTTTTAGCTCCCTATCTCCCATATCCCATCCTTACAGATGCTAATTTATTCCACTATCTCATCTTGCATCAAAATTGTGTATTCTGTTTTGCTTTTGTTAATTAGGCGTGTCTGAGACAGTGTGCAACTGCAATAAAAAAGGCCAACGCTATGCTGGGGATTATTAGGAAGGGAATTAAAAACAAATCAGCCAGTATCATAATGCCCCTGTATAAATCAAGGGTGCGACCTCATTTGGAGTACTGTGTATAGTTCTGGTCACCACACCTCAAAAAGGATATTATAGCATTGGAAAAAGTGCAGAAAAGGGCAACTAGAATGATAAAGGAGTTGGAACACTTTCCCTATGAAGAAAGGTTAAAGTGCTTGGGGCTCTTTAGCTTGGAGAAACGATGGCTGAGGGGTGACATGATCGAGGTTTATAAGATTATGCATGGGATAGAGCAGGTAGAAAGAAGTACTTTTCTCCCTTTCTCACAATACAAGACCTCATGGGCACTCAATGAAATTGCTGAGTAGTCAGGTTAGAACAGATAAAAGAAAGTACTTCTTCACCCAAAGAATTATTAACACATGGAATTCCTTGCCATAGGAGGTGGCGGCGGCTACAAGCATGGACGGCTTCAAGAGATAATTAGATAAGCATATGGAGCAGAGGTCCATCAGTGGCTATTAGCCACAAGGTATAGATAGGAACTCTCAGGCTGGGGAAGTGATGCACTACATTCTTGGTGCTTGGGGGGGCAACAGTGGGAGGGCTTCTAGTGTCCTGGCCCCACTGCTGGACCTCCTGATGGCACCTGGTATTTTTGGCCACTGTGTGACAGAGTATTGGACTAGATGGGTCATTGGCCTGATCCAACATTGGCTTCTCTTATGTTCTTATGAATGGCTTACTTCTCAGAGTGGCTCTTGTTTTACATTGGTGTCTCTTTGTAGCACAACACCCAGCTATATTTAAAATTAGTCCAATTGTTGTACATATCATGTATCTGAAGAAGTGAGCTCTGTCTCACAAAACCTTATGCTGAAATAAATGTTGTTAGTCTTTAAGGTGCTATTTGACCCCTGTGTTATGTTGGAAAATGTAGCAGTATTTACAAGGATCATGTAGGGTTGCTGCATTTTTTATGGACAGAAGCTCCATGCCTTTTTAATAGACAGAAATAAAAAATGGACCCCTTATGAAGATGTTTTATCTGTTCATTTCTGTCTGCCATATCACAAATGAAGACGCAGATTCTCTGACCATAAAAAGACAGGGCTGGTAACCTTATGTCCCTTGGTGTTTGTAAAGATAAGAGTGTGGGTTTGATTTAGCTACTTCTGTCCTTGCAAACACATAACTAGCTAGAGCTGCCATCTTGAGCACTTTTGCCTACCTTGGCTGTCCCACTTGGTTCAATATACATCTGTGCATAGGGTCAGAATGTGGAAGTTTCTTGACAAATCATTTCCTCCGTACTTCCTTACTCCATGCAACAGAATGTGATATAGCAATTCTTAATGTGATATGTAGCAAGGGAGAAACTAGTAGAAAGGGAAAGTAATTATATTGGAGGTAATTACAGAAGCACAAGAAATGTAGTTACCATGAGAATAAATCAGATGGAATTATTGTGGGAAAAGTGTAAGTCCCGTCTAGCATTTGATCATTACCAGACTTTTAGGCTTTGCATGTGTGTTCTTGAGGGAACTCTTCACAAATGAAATTAATTCAGTCCCTCTGCAGTTATAAAGAGTGATGCAGCATTGATATCTATAGGGATCATAGTGGAGTGCATGAATTGTAGTTATGGGAAGGACTGGAGGGAAAAAATTCATAAGGCAAAACAGATATTTTTGTGCTTTAAAGACTCTTTTATTGTTTTTTTAAGCCAAAATAAGTAAAATTAATTTAAAATGCTAACCATTTCCTTGAAAATCCCATTCAGAAATGAAACACGGTGTACACAAAAATGAATGATTCCTATATTGTTCATTTAAATACAATTCAATTTTAAATGTACTGTTATACACTCAGCACTGAATATCTACTGCTCTTTCTTGAGTATCTTACTTTTATATTCAGAAATTGGTATCAATAAAATGATTATCCTATCTAATTAGTATCAGAGGTTCATGTAGCATTGCCATATATTATACATGCATTATTAATTACTGTAAAAATTACATCCCCTTGATGGAACAGCAAACCATTTACATGCCTTACATACCATTTAAATATGTCATTGCTTTAGCTGGATATGTTACTCTCTATGATAATTACTGTATGACTCATTCCTGAACAAAAAAGCAGTTCCCATTTCTGAACATTTTAATTGCAGTGTCTTAATGACTGCTTGTTGTCCTGGTGTGATATTCTACTGCTTTTCATAATACTATATTATATGTAATGCCTTGTGCTGCTCTTGTAGTTACTTATATCTGCTTCTTGCTGTCATTGGAACCAATCGCTGTTGTCTAATATCCAGTACTTAAATCAAGCTATAACCTGACCTAGAGCAGTCTAAATCACAGCTACTGAAGTTCCTCTCCAGCAGGTCAACTGTATGAACAGCTGCTAGTTTGTTGGTAACAGCAACCATTAATACATAGCCCAATCTTATCATATCTCAGAAGTTAAGCAGGGTCAGCCCTGGTTTGTACTTGGATAGGAGACCTCCAAGGAAGTCCAGGGTTGCAACACAGAGGCAGGTGATAGCAAACCACATCTGAACATCTCTTGCCTTGAAAACCCTACAGGGTCGAAATGATTAAGCAGGTGGCATGGCTAAAAGAAGAGAGAAGAGGAGATTGGATTTATACCCCACCCTTCACTACCCAAAGGAGTCTCAGAGCAGCTTACAAACTCCTTTCCCTTCCCATCCCCACAACAGATACCCTGTGAAGTATGTGGGGCTGAGAGAGCTCTGACAGAAACTGCTCTTTTTCAAGAACAGCTCTTATCAGAACTATGGCTTGCCCAAGGTCATCCAGCAGGTGCAAGTGAAGGAATGAGGACTCAAACCCAGTTCTCCGAGATTAGAGTCCGCGCACTTAACCACTACACCAAACTTAACCACTACACCAAAACAAGGGCAGGACCACACATTTTAAAGGTGTTTGAACCACTGGAAACACAGCTTCATTATCAGAACTATTGTTCTGGGGTCTACCCAGGGGGAGAAAAAAGGCTATAGTAACACCGCTCTTGAAACAACCAACCTTGAATCCTTCAGATCCTTTCAATTACCGCCCAGTCTCAAATGTCTTGCTTTTGGGTAAGGTAATCGAGAGAGCGGCAGTGGAATACCTGCAGTGTTTCCTGGAGGACACCAAAGCCTTGAACCCATTCCAGTCTGGTTCCCACCCGGGCCATGGGACAGAGATGGGACTGGGTCTCCCTCACCTTCGCAGACAGCTGGACCGAGGCAGGTCGGCACTGCTGTTACTATTAGGTCTGACAGCAGCGTTCGACATGATCAACCATGACTTGTTGACCCACCGCCTTGCCAACGTAGGAGTCCATGGTGTGGCCTTGAAATGGCTTACCTCATTCCTCCAGGGCCAGAGGAGAGGTTTTGCCCCAGCACCCCCTGGTGTGTAGGGTCCCTCAAGGCGTGATCCA